AGAAACTTAAAAGAATTACATAATTGATGTACACTCCAGAAACAGCAGCTCTACAAGTTCTGGTACATTTTGTGCCATCATTTTATTTTCTTCTACTAATTTTTGTCTAATTACAATGTTATGATCTAGCCATATTTATTTTCATTCTTCATATGCTCCATAAATATATTTTATTCAAAAAGTGTAATTTACTTCCTTTAAAATCTATGTGCAGCATTACGTATATTACTTACATCCACTTTTTGCTCCCAAGTCAAAGTTGTTATGCATAAAATGTTTTAACTGCTGACTCCAAGGGCTAAGAAATATCGAGACCTTCCATCCAGGTTTCTATTCTTGAAAGCAAAGTTATATAGCCTATGGTTGTGCTTTGTATAGTATATGAGGCAAATAGCTATTATCTCATTTTCATCAATAACTACTTTACACCAATGTACAATATCATAAGGAATGTATCCAGGACTCCACCTGGTTTAACTGCAAACTCCATGATGTTAATTATTTTGCAACAGGATGATGTTGGAGAGAACACTGATTGCTCTTTGATAGGTTCTGATGTGTAGATGCTTCTCAACTTTCAATGGGATTATTTCCCAGTTAGCCCACTGTAAATTGACAGCATCCAAAGTCCCGAATGCACCTATCATTGCTAACTGGAGAGCATCATGACTTAGCAACTAGGTCTGTGTGCTGCCAAGCATGTCATGTACCATCCTGTCACCTGGCTGGCAGAGGCTGTGGTTGGCTACTTCAGCCAAGCACTGGGAAAGAGGAGTATGAAGCTCATTAGTAGCCTGCAGAAAAAAAATCAAGCTTCAAAGTATGGTTTTATTAAACGTGTATCTCTTCTGAAAATGTGTCAGCCAAGCCACCATAAGTCCGGGAAGGTTCAGTAGTATTTTGTAGGTGACTGCTGCCAATGTGCAGGGTCACCAGCTGCATTACATGACTCTACTTCTGTTGCTTTCTGCAGCCAGCAATAAATACCATCTCTATCGTTGTTTTACTTTAAGTGGGTAAATGATATCACCTTTTAGTTTCACAGAAACTTTTTAGCAAGTGAAGTAAAAACATTTTCAACCTAATTAAAGTTCTTCTTTTGTGAAATTACTTTTTGTTTTTCTCTTATATGTCTAGTGACATCTCATTGTTTTTCTTATTCACTTGGATGAATGCTTGCTTAAGAATTGAAGTGATCATTTATCCAGCTTGCAGCCTTGCTTCTCTGATCTAGAATAGCTGACTATCTCTTCCCCAGAGGTATCATCAGCTTGTGTGATAGGAGGGGCACTGTGTTACGCCGACACACCTCATACATATATCGATCTATTCTCTGTAAGTCTTGGCCAAGGTAATTTGATTTCAATCCTTTTTGGGCCTGGAAGGTTTCTGTTATCCTATTTTAATCTTTTGAAGGACAAATCAAAGTATTTTGTTAAAACAGAAACCAACAGCGTTTGATAATAATCCTGAAAGGGCTGAACTATTCAAAACTTGGATGGTAATGATCTTGTCATAGCTGCATGTGGTTCATTGGAGACCCCGGAGTTAAAATATAAAGACAGTGGAGAGGTCCCTGTGTTGAACTGGAGAGCACACAGATTAGGTTGGCTGCTATTTCTAGTGCTTACTGGCTTCTACTTCTAAATGGTCTCTGATGCTTATAAGCATTTTCAACTTGTGCTCATATGAATATTTATTGATTAGAGAAAAATCTTATTCTTTATCTATATCATCTACCGTGGCAGCATCCCCAGAGGTTCTTTTGAAACACATTTGATATATTGTTATTTTACTTCAGAGGTCCACAGAGAAGGAAGCTCAGCTTAATGTTCCTAATAGCACATTAATTTACAGTATACCTTGATTGCTATATGTATATTGGAAAATATATTTGGTGATTTTTAAAATTTCATTGATCATTCTGTAATTAAATGAATTGATCTGCATGTAATTAGTCACTTTGCTATATGATAAATGGGAACATTTATCATAGTAGTGTCATATGGATCATGAGAAATCAATTCCTCTGAGATAATAAGAGCCTATTCTACCACATTGATTATCATATTACTAAAAGTAACAGTTCTTGCCTTTCCCAAAGTGTATGTGGTAGAGAATAATCAAAGGTAAACAGGTGTACTCTTTCTCTAGTTTTAGAAAATTTATGAGAATAAGATCTATTATTGTTATGCTACACCTACTACCAGAGAGCTAGAGATGTTAACTAAGTTACTCAAGATAACTTATTCAGGCACATTAAAAGTGTTAGAGAATATGTCAGTACCCTATTGGAAACAGTAATTTAGAAAAAGGAAAGCTGTATGTGTTTATGTTTTACATAGGTTCACATTTTTATTTAAGTTTTATTCAAATAATATGGCAAAATTCTAATAATAGGTAAGAAGATTTAGATTCTTTAGGCATAAAATTTTTAAAAAGTAAATTGCATGTGAGTGCATTTGTATTTGTATTTTATGTGTGTGAGAGCACGTATGTGCAATTTATATACTAACACAAGATACATTGCTCACATATGTGTGTATATATATACATTTATATATTTATGAGACTGAGTAAAATGTTATTAGTTTTAGAATTATTAATGTGCTTCTTGACTACTAGAGCACTGATATCCTATTACATTATACCCAATCACAGTGCCATTATTGCTTTCCCAAGCAAAATATTGTATAAGTTTATAAGCTTTGACACAGTGGGACATTTGTACTTTATGAGATCACTTCAGCATTTTTTCTCACTAAAATGCAACTGATGTACTCTTGTCAACAAGTAATATTTATTACTTATGGAGCCACATGCATATAATTAATGCATCCATACCAACCTCCTCTATGTTAGTAGATATCGGCACACCGAGGTAATTGTCTTACAGATAAAAATCATAATATAATGAAGCGCTGTCATTCATTATGTGCAAACTGAAAAAATACAGAATAAGTACTCATTATCACAAGAAATCAGTAGCCTAAGAAAAGAGGAAAAGCCTTGTTTAAAGGGCCAAGTAGTAAGTGCTTGAACTTTTCAGACAAGAGCATGTGTGTACCACCCTCTCAGCTCTATCCTAACAGCAGTAAACTGCAAACCAGTAGTAAGTGTTCCCGTTCCAGTAGAATTGTGTTACCAATCTAGCAGTAAGCCAGATTGGCTCATGGCTCATGTGGTATGATTTGCTTACCCCTTGTCCTAGTGCTAGGAGAGAAAAAAATGGAAATCAACCTTTATTTATATTTACCTCTTTATTTTTTAATGTACTTGGCATAGGGTCTCACTACATAGCTCAGACTCATGGGTATCCTCCTGTTTTCAGCCTCCCCAGTCCTAGGATTACAGTCATGTGCCCGCACGCCCAGACTCAGTCACAGGCTCAGCACACCTAGGGGCGGAGCTGGTGTAGCATGTGCGACCAGGGATCGAACCCTGGTCCCTTTACTTGCCTAAGCAGGTGCTTAGTCCACTGAGTTATCTCACTGGCCCTGAAAGTTAACCTTTAAAGATGTCAGTACTTCTTTAAGATACTATTGAAATAAATATAAAGCAAATTTTATGATCTATCCAGATATTTGATAGATGTCTTACCTACTCTAAAATACTTTTTCAGAGTATTTTAATAAAGTGAAATCTGACTTTCGTTACATCTATGGTGAAAATAATCATTGGTCATGTTCTTTAATATATATTCTCATAGGGTTGGGAAGACAGTTCAGCAGCTTAAGCACCTGCCTGGCAAGCACAAGGTTTTGAGTTTAATCCCCAGTAAATAATAATAATAATAATAATAATAATAATAATAATAATAATAACTTTTCTATCACAACATAGCAGCATAAATAAAAAAATTCATAAACATGTAATGAGTGTGAATATACACATGTTATGGTAAAACTGTATTTACCAAAACATGCAGTAAGCTAGATTGGGCCCATGGGCTAATGCTTAAAAAAAAGTTTATCTTTCCTTTGCAAAAGATCCATTATAATTTGATTTGGAACATTTATCTGCCTTCAGTAATGCTTGAAAATTTACTGGATATTTACAATATATTTTCACCTTGTTTACAATGAAATGGAGTACATTTCACATAAGGTCACAATGTACAGATTTTCATCCAATGACAAAATTTGCTAATGTATGGTGTCATTACTGAGGTCACATTAAAGTTCTTTTCAAACCACTTTACATAGATATACTATTCACAAAAAATAAAATAATTCATGTAATTATTTACATGCTGTATTCTGCCCTCAGACTGTGTGGCTTCAATCAAGAATGTATTTTCTTTAACAACTTACTCTGTTTTATCTAGATTTCTAAGAATATGTGCAAAATTAAAATGAATCTTCAGCATTGACATATCCAGAGAAGTACATGTATTATAGTTTGCTTTTTCTATATAGCTAAAGCTCTGAAAATATTTGGAAGTGTATTTTTAAAATATGGAATTATAAATTTAAATTGCTGACCTTCCATAAGTGATTGGAAACACCACATAAGCATAAAAAATTAATAAACTGTAAGTTGTACCACTGACATAAATAAATTCAGTGTATCTAATGAATCAAACCTTCTCACCATAAACTTGCGGAGAACCTGCAAACTATGTTGTCATAGGGCTATTTTGAAAGTCTTGCAAACATAAATTTTGAGGGAATTACTGGAGAAAGATATTTAGGTGAGCATACTTCTTTATTTATACATCTGTGTTACTTGCATACAGTTAATTCAAATGCATTGCCTCATACTTGTAACTGAATCCAAATTTTAAGTAAAGTAAAAGTCACTGTCTGGTACAACTCAGTACTTCCTAAGTCCATAGCATGTTTCCTAAGTAAAAGGCACTGTGAAAGAATTTGCTGTATGAATTGAAGGGTGTTGCCTTTGCAAGGCAAAGCGGACACCTGAGTGAAATCCGCAGTGTCTGTATGCTGTCGTTGAGGGAGTGGGATCTCTTATCTTGGGCTCTCTTGTTTGCTTTTCAGTTGCTGCGAATGCGGCTGTGGGAGGGCTTCTTCCCTGTGCGCTGTTGCCCATCCAAGCCTAATATGGTTAGTGTTCCCTCCCGCTTTCACTCCTCTGTGATGTCCACCGCCCTGTGTGACCGCCAGCATCTTTGCTTTCTCCATGTGTGTGCGTTCTAACACTCGGTGCACGCGGTACACTTTCCCAGTGAGGAAATGAAAATGGTGCCTGAAGGTTAATATTAACCAGTGATTCCAGAGTGGATTACTGAAAGTAAGATATTATGCATCTAGCATGCCATCCCTGTGTCAAGCATTCGTACTTATGTTCTGAGGCTCTCATGTGGTTCTGATTTCAGCTAGGAAGCTGTAAGAGTGTAGCATCTGTTCTACATTTAACATGTCACTGTTTCTGTTGTTCCATTCAGCAAAATCCATGTCACACATTGAAGTGAAAATGCTACTTCTGTCAAGGTTAAGTCACCTTTTGTGTCTCCCAGATCCATGCAATGACCATAATGGACAACTGGGATCTTCTACTGTCATAATCATTACGGATACATGTGGCACTGATGAATTAAACCACATGTAATTTTAAATGGTTTATGTCATTGTATTAACTTTGAATTATTTCAGATATCTGAAGTGATATTCCTATTTTGATACCACTGATGTTAAAAAGTGCATCTATATAATCAGTGTTTAAATAGGATAGTCTTAATTGTTTATAAATGAAAATTGAAATATGTATCTGTGTAATAACTGTGACACCAAGGGCTGGAATATAGGATGAGAAAATCTTATTTACAGATCTACAGAGACTTATACACAATAGTGAGCTACCAATTAAGAAGTGAAACACTCCAAGTGATTACTCTGTAGATTAAAGAGACTAAATTTTTGAAGAACCAGTCTTTTATTTTTAGTCAAAATTTACCATGAAAAATCGCTTAAAATGCATTTTAGAAAATAGCAAGGTTCCATGGTGGCATTTTGTATGGTTATAGATTAATTCGGGTTGATTTAAACTCCTGGTTGAGTGGCTGACTGTGCACTGTGTGTTCCTGTGGAGCGTCATGCAATGGATGCTGGAGATGTTCAGAGATGACACAGACTGGTGGCATTCAGAAGTGTTTCTCTCAACCTCTTGAAAGTTTGTATTTGCACAGAGTCTTGAAGGTACTAGGAAAGTACAGATTTTTTCCAGGTTATTTAACTTATATAGGAAATTCTTGTATGCATAGAGGTTTAGTGAAAAGACAAATAAAAGCTGAAACTAGGCATTTCTATAGCACAAATTGTGATTTTACATTGTCATTTTACTGCGCTACAACAAATGAAAAATTGATTATTCAACATCAGTCTTAAATATAGTTGCTATAAGAGATAAATTATCGCTGAAGTGGAATAGGTAAAATTTACTTTTTTTTAAAATGTAGCTTGACACCCAAACCTACGTTTAAATAAGTTTCAGAGATTTAAGTGTGAATGTGAAGATTTATAAGCATAAGACTTAACAAAGATGCCCTACATCAAAATTGAAATACTTAATTTTTAAAGTACTATTTTTCTACACTTTAGTTGGAAAAAAGGAAAGTGGGAAAGTACTTTCTTTGCAAAGAATTCACAAGAAAACCAAAAATAATATTTTTCCTAAAATCTTTTCTCAAATAATTTCAGGAATTGAGTAGGAAATGCATGTTTGGTTTCACTCATGGGTACTTTGTGTGAGTGTGTGAGTGTGTGTGTGTGTGTGTGTGTGTGTGTGTGTAAAGACTAGTTAGCTACACATGATCTTAGGTACTCAATAAAATGCTGAGTCTTCGCTGGAAGATTTATAGATGAACTGGGAAATCTGAAACCTTGCTGCCTATTTTGTATGCTTGATCATACCTGTCAATTACTATGCAAATAATTTTCAAAGAACATTATCATCATCATCTCTTATGAGCAGACATTTTTGCAATTAATTATAGAGCAGAGATTTGTAAACATTTTCAATCTTGTACTCTTGTTTATTTCTTGAATTTCACTCATGAATGTATGTGTGATTAGTTTTGACCTTAATAGAATCTGATGCATACACATTACAAGTGCTCATTGCCCCTCAGTGGCTGGTAGAAATACCTTGATTTACTTTGTGGAAATGAACTCTGAGGACATGAGATTTTTATACCTTCTGTTAGATCTGTGGTCCTGCTATGTCCAAACCTCTGCAAAGTGCTGAGGTTCTGAGTTTTGTTGACTTTATTTCCCAACAGAAAGCCATGCTCTATCATTTCTCCATGGTGTGATGCACCATGTACAAAAATAAATTTGTAGTCACACGTTGTCATCTTTGTTCCTTGATCTCAAATTGCACCTCATCACTGGGACTAGCTGCTTTATTATGTCCTCCATACATAGACATTAAGCTAGTTTTTCAAACAGTTCTGCTTTGACTGTATTCTCAGTGGCAGAAGCTACTGAATGAAGCTCAGGCCCAGATTTTGAGCCCAGTATTCCAAGATTTCCCTCATTTTTAGCAGAGTTATCTTCATCAGGAAAGAATGTCTGTTCCTTTCATGCCATCACTTGAGACTAGATCATTGCTTCACTTTGGTAAAGATATATTTTATAAGCAAGAAATGTTGAATTATTTTCATGTAAATAACTTCTGTATTTACATTCTATGTTTAGCTTTTATTTATATTAAAGTAAACTTAATAAAATATAAAATGATATAAATTTAATTTCTAAAGTAATATTATCATTTATACCTGAATAATCACTTATATTTCTGATTACAAAAATCAATGATGTTTACAGAATAATACTTAGTATAAGTCCACCTGAAACAACCCATATACCGTAATAGTTGATCTTGGCATTTCTTAAAAGCCAACACACATTATATTATTTCTTTCTTTCATTATTTTTTATACATTCCAATGTTTTCATATATTTTACTACTTCTTAGCGGGAAAGACAAAAGGAATTCAGTATTTAAAAACTGGAAATCCTTAGTGATTATTTCATTCATTTGTCTATCTTATGTAGAAAACCATTCAATTCTTAAATATTAACTTTCTTACTTAAAAAATAAATATTGACATAGAGGTGAATTATAGCTCATTTAATGTAGATATTAAAAATTCTCATAATATAGAAATCAAAAATAAAAATTTTCTGGTGAAACAGATCATGAATTATTTGAAATATTAGTCTTTTTCAAGAAAAAAAACTTTTCTTATGTAAACTGTAAGTATCTCACAGGTGAAGTAGGAAAGACATATCCTCATAAATACTTTCCAGATACAGATTTTTAAAAATTATCCTTATGTGATGCCTGCTAAGAAAACATAAGCACTCTCCCCCTATCGTGCACAAAAGTGACATAAACAAGAACATCATACTTTGTAATAATTTTACTCACTTAAGGTACTTACAGGGACATAAATGTGAGTGACGGTTAAAATAAATGGAGAGTATATTAAATTCAATTGAAGGCTTGTTAAGTTAAATGTATGAGTTGATCTTAGTACCCCTTTCTTTAATAATTGTAGAATCTTAGATTGCAGGAAACAATATCCAAGTTTACTTTAAGAAATGCTATGGACATCCACAAAATAGTTGAAAATCAACAAGAAATGACCCTCTATGACAGTAGGAGGAAACTTGATGGAATGTGGAATGGTGGCTCTGAAAGCAATGCTCTTGTTCTGCTGTTACACTTAACAGTATAATCCTGCTATTCAGGAAGCATTTTGCTGTCTTCATAGGACTACATGTGAAGAGTGATTCAAAATTTCCAACATGTAATAACAGATTGGCTGTGATTTTGTCTATTTAAATCTACGGAGAACTTCAAATCTAGTACCCTCGTATTATAAATAAGGAAACTAGAAAGGAGAGTCCTAAGGTTCTGCTAGCAGACACCCTAAAATAATTTGTCCAATATTCATGGAAGAATGCTGTCTCCTAGAACAAACTTTAATCTATTTACAGTCTGTGTTACATATATTAATAACTTAATATTGATGTGAGTCTATATTTTATGAGGCATAGTTAAGTATTTATTTATTTATTGATTGATTGATTGATTGATTGATTGATATTAAACTCAGGACCTTGCACTTGCCAGGCAACCAACTGTGCCACTGAGCTAAAGCCCCAGCCTCCAAGCTTTTATTTAAACTATATTCTGTTTTTTTAATTGAAGACAGTCTTGAAGTGCACAAGTGGGCAGAAGTATTTCCTCAAAATCCACAAGATATTTTCAGAATGCCAATCATAAAAGGCATTAAGTAGAATATTATGCAATGGAGGAAGTCATTTTTAGTTTAGAAAAAAGTAGTGTGAATGTATGAAGAAATGTTCTAAATGAAGCTAACTTCAATGTTTGTATTTTCTGTGAGCAAAATTCTTATATAGTATTGTTTGCTGTATTTTGATGCTCTTTGAACAGCTTTGCTTGGGGAAATGTGTTTCTTAATTAATCTGGAAAATAGAGGCAAAATACAGATGTGGCTGCTTCCAAAGAAACTAACAATGTAGGTACTCGTTCTTGGAAAGAGGTCAGAATGCAGTACCGTTCTCCCCCTGCCCCACTGTGTCCTGTCCCTCCTTACATAGGTCAAAATTAAAAGAAATAAACCTGCAGCCTAAGCCAGTGGAAAAGCTGAGTGCTCATAAGGTGTCTTGGAGCCTTGTGGTAAATTACTGCCACTACACAATGCTTGTGCTCTGCAATGATTAACGCTTATAACCTAAATTTGTTATCAAACCCTCAATTTATAAGCAGAATTCAATTTTCACCGGCACCTCCATCCATACATAAAGAATATGGTAGACTGTTTCATGCATTATGGAAATTTCAGATATTCACATTTACATGTGGTGCTGGAACCAAAGTTTTAAAATAGCGTTAATATTGTTGGGAGTGATTTACCCCCAACCTTAGGATAGGCAGAGAAAATGTATTCATTAATTACTTATAAGGTCATTACTATACTCATTTAACAAGAATTTCTTTAGGACTTTAATAAATATAAATGAAGATGAGTTGTGCTTTTATATAATTTCCAATGTCCATTTCTATTACAATAAATAAAAACACATTTTCTAAAAGAACATGCAAATACATGATGAGAAAAAGATGATTCCTCCAGAAATATTGTGCATATATTTTTAAATACAGTAATTGGAAAGTATCTTAGAATTGTGGCATGAAATAAAATGAGGAAACTTTTCCAGTGAGAAAAAATTTTTCCAGAAACTGGCAGACATCATTTATGTAGAGCGGTCATCTTTACTGACTGCTTGACTGATGAAAGCTGCGCCTCTGGCCGGGTCCAGAGGCGACCAGCGAGCGCGCTTCCCTCCCGTGCTCAGGGAAGCAGGCGGCACCACAGCGGGAGTGCCTCTCTGCTAGCCGCGCTTCCTCCTGCTGTATCTCATTGAGGCATGTTCTAAAGATGCTTTCCTGGGTCCAAACATAATTATATACGTTAATGTGACATGTGGCCGTATGCATTACGGAGCTCCAGACCTAATAACTCCCTCCGTGGCCCTGTGGCCCTGCACCCTAGATAGTCCCGCATTAACGGCTCTTTGGTAAGGCAGTCCCAAATCATTTTTGCAGATGAGATCCAGGTTTCTTTCCATTTTCGCATGAGGAATTTGCATGGAATTTAAATATCTAAGAGTCTTATTTAATGGCAGTGGCTATTGCAGTATACTGTTTATAAAGTCTGTCATTTGGTTCTTTTAGAATTGAGAAAGTTAATGGTATCAGGAATGCTTGTTTATTAATCTAAACTGCAGGAATGCATCTACCTCTTAGGTCCCTTTAGAATTCTACTAACAAAGCCTTTTGTCAGTATTATTTATAACATGCACCTCAGAATAGTGTCCCACAGTGGTATTTAGCAAAGTATTAAAAAGAAGTACCAATAACTTCTCTCTCGAGGAACATGCATTAAAACTGAAAAATAATATAATGTCTAGAAAAATTAGGAACAATGCATTAAAGCACTTTAAATCTTAGCTGAACAGATCAAATGTAATTTCAGGGAAATTTCGTAACTGTGGTTTTTTCTGTCCATTTCACTGTGATGAGGTAAGTGCAGGTGTCTTAAGGACTTATGAATGACAGAACACATCTAAGCACAGTATTAGCAAACAAATCAAATAAAAAGCCTTTGGATTCCTGCTGTGGATCATTTCTCCTAAATAACATGTATTCAGTGTATTATTTTATGTCTACTCAAAAATTTAATAGCCACACCAATAAATTGCAAATTCCTCAACATGATCCAAATAATTTTGTTTTCCAAAAAGTTTTCTAAGGTTAATTTGTTAATGTGGTAATATATAAGTAAATACACACTAGAAAAATGACAAAATATAAAGCATATTTTCTTTTCATATCAAATCATACTAATATCATCCCAGAATATATAACCAGGAAATTATCTGTTGGTAAATGTCTACTGGGTACTTCATTTACACTCCTAGTTGTTTTCAAACAACTTTGTTAGGAAAATACTTTGTCAGCCTGCCATTTGACTGTCTTTGCTTACTGCAGCAATAAAAGAAAATTTTATTTTAATGAACTCAATTCTGTGGTGGGATCTTATGAATAGCAAAATCACTTCCTTCAACTTTCACTGAAATAAGTATTTTCATTATTGCCAGTCATTGAATGTTACATGGCTAATCATGTACATCGATTCAGTATTCATCAGCATAGTCCTTTACCAAACCCCTGTCTGTGTAGACACAATCAAAATACCATTCACTCATTCATTTATTCATTCATCGATGTAATAGGTATTTTTAAAGTCAACTTTGAAACAAGTGCTAAGTCAGTACTGGAATTTATACATGAGTACTGGTTACGGTCCTTCTGGAAGCTAGCAATACAAGTGGTGAGTTTAAAAACACTCAGCTGATGGTACGACACCATAGAGTGGAAATTATACCATCCAAGAGGTATTCAGAGAAGAGAATTTTTTTTTTATTAAGCTGGGAAGAAGAAAAGGAAAAAAATTTAACTGAACTTTGCTAACTGGAGTTTGTTAGAATGTTCTTAGATAATGAACTTATAAGGATGGAAGTATGTGAAATATCTTGGTGACTGTAGAAAAAAAATGTAGTATACCTGAAGGAGGTGATGCAGGAAATGTGTTAGAGTGATATTCAGGAATTTTTGCTGCTTTATGATATTGAAGATTTTATAGTAGGAAGCTAATTCAATAGAAAAATATCATGTGTACAGTGCCTTATCTAAATCTATGATACAGTAAAATTGGGGAAAGGAACTACAGGAGGGAGAGAGGGTTTATCATTTTGAAGGATCTTATAGCAATCCACATGAAAAATAATTAGGCCTTCATTGAGGAGGTAGTGGAGCTAATGAAAAAGAAGAGCTGGACTGGACTGTGTACACTGCAAAATGCTTGAACTCTGATAACTAATTTGTTGAGAAGCATAAAAGATCAATGGTTGGGTCTCCAGGCCATGGTGGTGTTAGTAACAAGAAAAAGTGGAAGAGAGAAAATGGTGAAAAAAAAGAAAAAATATACTCATTTATTTCACAGGTCCATTGAATTTGAAATATCAATGGAATATCTCTTAAAAATGTATCTAAAATCAATATAATGGGTAAAAGTTATTCAATAAATTGATGGAAGTTGGATGGAACAGAGGAATATGAGAAATACATGCAGATCTTTGGATGTGCAGCAGAAAAATAACGACTTTAATATATCATGAATAAAACTAAGAGTCACTGGATTAGAAGTTAAGCTGCTATCAGTGATCCTTAGCAAGCAGATGTTTGTCCAGAGAGAAAGCATTTTGCAAGGACAAGCCAATTAGCTGATGAAGAAGGAAAGAAAGTTTGGAGAAGTATAGAAGTGGTGCCAGTTGTGGTGAATTCCACAGAGATCTGGGTAGAGTGGAGTGAAAGCCAGACTCCAAGCTGGAAAAATGTTCAGGAAGGATGCAGGAGTCAGAGACCACGAAAGCAGAGGCATAAGCTGGGCAGCTCAACCTGAGAGACACCGTGACCTCGACTTGGGAGTCAGGAGGGAAGAGAGAAAGGCTACAGAGAAAGGTCTATGTATCTCTTCTGGGGAAGAGAACTTCAAAAGTTGTTTTGGAAGGCTTCTGACTCGGTGAAATCTAGACAAGAGTCTTCGCTGAAAGTGAGGATTAGTGGCCTTTCATTCAGGGGGAGGATCAGTGGTTTTTCTTATTAGCAGCATGAAAGTCAGCTCAGGGTTGCAGCAATTTCACTTGTGTTTCTGCATCTGGGCTTGGTGCGATCGGGTCACCACTTTCAGAGGTGGCTAATTGTGACTTGCTTTGTTCCAGGCGCTGTGGCTACAGCAAAGCAAAGCAGGACCCCGAAGAGGAAAAGATGCATTTTCATAATGGGCACAGTAAGCAAACTGTACAAAAGAAAAAGAAACAAACAAAAAGAGGAGGCTTCATTGTTGTTTTCAGGCTAGAGTATTTATAATAACTTACAAAAATATTATTGTTACTTGTTTTCAGGGTAGAGGATTTATTATAACTGCCAAAAATATTGTGTTACAAAGCAAGTGTCTGTTAACACATTCTTCCAAAGCCTGTGGGTGTAGACATTGGTGATTGGCTGTGGCAAAGCCCCATGTTTCCTTCAGTTCTTTAAAAATATTTTCATTATAGTCATTTAAATAAAAACCTTTCCTCAATACAAAAGCTATTATATTCCAAATCCAATTTCCATGCTTATTCTAATTCCTAGCATCATAGAGAGTAGAAATCTTTCATTAAAATCACACAGCCAGGTTAAACGCGTAAAATTTCTGTTTCTTCTTCTAGCATATAATGGGAATTTCCCTCAAAGGATCCTGTGGCAGCAGCCTTTGTTCAAATGACTTAAAAAGGACTACATTTTTAAGACATGCATAAACTCAGGTCTTAATAATCATGAGCTTAAAATTGGTTTCAATGAGTCCTAATTATGGTATTTTAGTATGTCCATTTTCTCATAGAGTACAAAGTATGTTGATTTGCCAAATAAATTAATTTCTTTTGTTTTTGCCAACCTGCCATGACCATGGTATGCTGAAAAGCATAGATGCTATCTTCTTGTCCCTGCATTAATATGGCTTATTGTCAAAAAGCACTATCAGGATGATATTTGTGGTTTTCAAAGTGAAAAACCAAGGCTCAGGGAACATAAAAGTCTCTTTGAAAGTTGTACAGTAACAGAAACAGTGTGAGAAGTAGATCTCTCTTGTTCTTTTGACTTCTAACCAGTCTAACTGCACCGTACCACTAATATTTTAAATGTCTTGTGAAGACTTGACATTAATAATCTGTGTTGATATTTAAGTCAAGCAGATGGTACACCAGCAAATAAACCACTGGCATTTCATTGTCCTTATTCATAAGTAAAATGTTCTCCAAGTCTCTTAGGGACCAACTTTGTGAATATTATCATTAAAAGATATATTTATTTATATGTCATCAAACACATTTCTTGTGTGTGCCAGTCATCCAGGTGTTTTAAATTGTGAAAGTGATCTAATTGTACAAATGGTTCTCCTAACTCAGGAGACCACCTGTCCTTGCAGCTTGGCTGTTTCTAGGAATTAGAGATGTAAACCAGACTAGCATGTTAATTAAGTTTATAATTTTGTTTGTCCACCATAACTTGAATTTCAATTCCTACTTATTTTTATAGTTAAACTGCCTGGAGTAAGAACCTATATTGATCCACATACCTATGAAGACCCCAACCAAGCTGTCCATGAATTTGCCAAGGAGATTGAAGCAGCCTGTATCACCATCGAAAGAGTTATTGGAGCAGGTAGAACAGTGTGTTTAGCCTTGACCTTCAACTCATTGGAAGTACAGAATCTAATATGTCTAATCCTATGCTATTTAATTTATTTATTTATTTTTATTTACTTATTTTTTTCATGGAACCAGGGATTGAACTCAGACCCTCGTGCTTGCCAGGGAAGCACTTACTCTACTGAGCTATCTCCCAGGCCCCCTCTAATCCTACTTTAATGCCAAATGTTTCTTAATATTTCATAGTTGGCTTACTTCCTAAGTGAGATGTGATTGATCATATTTTCCTGTAACCTTCTGGATGGGTTGATCTTAAGATTGATGGTGAAGCTTTGATCCCTTTTTACCTTTTTTATCTCTAAGGCTTAATACCCCACAAGTGCATTACAACACTATTAGCATAACAGCTTCTGGTGAGTTCATGGCTCTCTCTCCCCCTGTCTGTCTCGCAAGGTGAATTTGGTGAAGTTTGTAGTGGGCGTTTGAAACTTCCAGGGAAGAGAGAACTACCTGTGGCTATCAAGACCCTGAAAGTAGGCTACACTGAAAAGCAACGCAGGGACTTCCTAGGAGAAGCAAGCATCATGGGACAGTTCGACCATCCCAACATCATCCACTTAGAAGGTGTTGTGACTAAAAGTAAGTGTCTGTCTACATCATGAGGACTTTTTAAAATAATTTTTATTGTTATTTCATTATTTGATCTTACTATGAGTTCAATGCCAGAATATAAAGATTGTTTTAAGTGCAGGGAAAGTATCAACTTTTTTTTCTACTTGCTTTTCTACTTCTTATACTAGTGAAATAATGACTTTAAGGGCTGGTGAGATAGTTCAGTGGACTCAGCTCCTGCTTAGGCAAGCTCATGTTTTCAGAAATACAAGCACAGTTGCTGTTTTCTTTAGCACTCCTTATCAAAAATCAACAGTAACATAAACGATCTGTTAAAAATCATTTTCTAGGGCTTGCCAGATAGCTCAGCAGAGTAAAGCACCTGCTTAGGCAAGATTAGGCAAGTACAGGGACCACGGTTTGATCCCCGGCACCACATGCTGTGCCAGCCTCACTGCTAGGGTGGGCTGAGCCATCACAGAGTTTGGGCGTGGTGGTGCATCTCTATAATCCCAGCACTGGGGAGGATAAAAAAGGAGGATCATTATGGATCCAAGCTACGTAGTGAAACCCTGTACCAAATACATTAAACAATATTAAAAAAGAAAGATAATGACTTCAAAATTAAGGGATAGAAGTTTAACATTTCATAAGATTTCTGTAACCATATGTGCCCTGCCACCTTTTAAGGAATTCAGTAGCCAGATGACTTATTTTATTCATTTTTACTTAAAATATTTTAATGTCTTAGGGAAGACAGCTGCCTCAGAAGCTGGCAGAGATCCTTGAGACTGAATTCTGTTGTTGCTGTTAAGTCTAGTTTTCACTCAGGATATCTAGAATTATAAATCTCTTTTAAAATTTCCAATGCCCTGTAAAATTGGCTGTGTAGTCGATGCCTTCCAATGATGCATTCTGAGCTGTCCTCCAGTCATATAATAAAGAATTTGCTTTTTTAGTCCAATTATTATTTTTTCATTCCTTGTATTTTTATTTATTTCTTCCCTTTCAACATAACTTCCTCAACTTCATTCCAAGCTTTTGTTTGCTTCTAGTTTCTATTAATTATGTTTTGAAATATATTTGTCAAAATATGTGTACATGCTCTATGCACTTAATAATGTTCTCACTGTAATCTGGATATGTTTAATGTACATTTATTCCATTTGACTTAAATATGGACAACAAAATAACTTTTTTTCGGTAAAAAGGGGAAGCATAACAGAACACTTACCTCGTCTATAAGGATTCCCAACTCTCAATTCATGTGTAGTGGGTTACAAATAGGAATCGGATTCCTGTCATATCTTAAGAATTTACCACAGTAGAAAGTTCCCTGTGAGTGAGTGATTGAAATTTTGGGGCCAGCAAAACAGCTCATCAGACTAAGCACCTGCTTAGGCAAGTGCAGGGATTAGGGTTTGATCCCTGGTACCACATGCCATGTCGGCCCTGCCCCTGGGTGCACTGAACTGGCCAACAAGTCCTGATGTCATGGCACATGCCTATAATCCCAGCCGTGGGGAGGTTGAAAACAGAAGAATCACTAGGGGTCCACACTACACAGTGAGACCCTGTACCAAATAGAAGAAAAAAAAATTGAATCAGTCTACTTTAATGAGAAATTGTTGTTTTCTGTGTTTCAAGAATATGCACAACTCCTGTTAAGATGCTTCTAGCCCAGTGTAGTAAAGGAACAAAATAACCTGTAATAACATCAGAACACAGAGATGTTCCCTCCTCAAGTTGAACACATGCCCATATTCTTCTCATCATGATAACTCATAGAGGACATTGCTGGAGTGAAAAGGGTATTCTGATGAGTTAGTAGGAAAAAAATGTTTCTAAACAAAGGTGGGAAACAAAAAAAAATAGTAGGCAGAAGACAAAATTATAATTTTTAAAAGAAACAAAAAATATTGTACAACACTTATGTCCTGATATAAAGGTGTGGTAGTATTCAAAGAAGATATAATGTGAAAAATATGGTCACAGGTACAGTAAGATAAAATGCGGAGTGAAGTTTGACTGCATTTCGTTTCTGTAGAAGCGCTTCCAAGGGGATCCACAGTCATGGGCAGTGACTGGCCCTGAAAGCTGGGAGCAACTACTGTATACTCACCAGCTTAGGAGACTACAAACTGAACCAGGAGTCTGAGACGAGACTAATAAATGATGAAATTCCTTCTCTGAAAAAGATAAAAGAAAAAGAAAAAAATGAAGAACATTTCCTAAGAATCTCATCATGTAATATACAAGCAACTGCAGTACTTAGTAATAAGTGTGAGCAAAGTTTTTAAAAACTTTATGCCTTCATGTCTTCCTTTACCTGGCTTCTAAATTTAACTTGCTAAAAATAAACTCTCACTATGCCTTCTTGCTACCCAGAGTAAATGAATGCTCTGCAGGCAGCTGGTCTACCTTCTGGAACGAGTTGAGATATGGTATTTTCAGCGGTGTCTGATCATCGTTACTCTCACAGAAGCCCATATCATGTACTGATTAAAAACAGGAACTATGGTCTAGTGATTCTACTTTAAGTTTGGTTCTGCTCTAAGCTCCTATGAGATTTGGCAAGACTTAAACATCCTCAATTGTAATTGTCTTATCATTTTGTTATTGTAGAGATAGTATGAATTAACACAGGTAAAATTTACAACAGGAATTGAACAGGGTAAGTGGTGACAACTATATAATTATATTTCAAATTAACTCTTTGTATGCTAAGACTTCCTCTATATTATTTTTTCCTCGATATTATTTTTAATGTCACTACTCTACCTTCTAGTTGTATGCCCATGTTGCTTCTTTCTCTGCAATGTACACTCTCATATTCATGACCTTCTCTTGTTAGCTCCTTAAAATCTTTTCACATTGTATCTACCCCAGGAGACAGTTGCTTCCCACCTTGCCTGGAAGTCGTCTTTCATTCTCAAGTGCTCTGCCTACACTGTATGAGAATATTTGAGAACCTATCATGTTCTTTCTTTTGGTTAAAAGGTCTTATTCAAATCAAAAGTCTTAATTTTGTAATCATCTGCATATATGTTTCAGCTCTCTGGCTAAATGATGCATGTCCTTTGAAGAGCTAGATAATGTCCTAAATATTTATGTAAATATGTTGTATCAAAATCTATGCCAGTCTGTGGGTAGCTTAATAACTATATTGAGCCTCAATATCAGACAAAAAGGAAAAGAAAACATCTACTATAAAGAATACTCATAGAAATTAAATTCAAATTTGTGTGTAGATGTATATGAATAAAATTGCACATAGTTATATTAGAGAATAAGTGTATATTTTAGTTGATTTCACTGAATGTATCACATAAAAGTAAACAGTATCCAAATATAGAACTAACATAGATCTCCAGCAAGAGTAGACTCTTGCTACTTTGCAGGTCTTGTTTTCTAGTCTCAATATTGACTGGGCTAACGCAGCAGAACTTGTATCGGGCATTTAAAACCTTTTTTTTTTTGTTTTCAGAAGCTAGTATTAATATAAAAAGATCTTATGTAGAATCTGAATTCTACTTTAAAAAGCTGCTGGTTTTGGAAAGCTATTTTTCAGTTTCCAATACTCTATTCAAGTATTCTGTTTGATATTGGTACCCACCATAAGGTTACACTTATAAGGTGAGCAAATTTTAAATATTTAAAATATGTCTGTGTTTTTAACTTTGTTGCCTGCATGAATTCATACCAGACCATCCCTTTTTAAATATATCTCTTGATGATAACTTAGGAAATCTTCAACTTATTTTTAATTTACCATGTCACAACTTACTTTATTTGTGTCCTTAATTTCATGCTCTCTGATCTGATGCTAATTTATTCAGCAATTATTCTCAACCTGCAGCACACAGATAATGAGACCTAAGTGCAACCGAATCTCGTGATTTTTCTGATTGAAGCTGAGTTGGGGGGACTGAAGTGTCGCCCCTCTGATACGAGTTCTGTTGGGCTAGCCCAGTCAGTATTCAGACTATAAAACAAGACCTGCAAAGTAGTGGCAAGAGTCTGTAAATGGAGATCTATGTTAGTTCTATATTTGGATACTGTTTACTTTTATGTGATACATTCACTGAAATCAACTAAAATATACACTTATTCTCTAAGATAACTATGTGCAATTTTATTTGTCACTCAGAGCCTTGGTCTTTCTGTAACTGCCTTCCATACGCGACACTTGTGCCCTACGCAGACTCCTTCTTTGGCTTATGATGAGAGAGGAACCCTCATAAATAGATGCACAGATATATTCTCAATAAGTTTCTTGACAAATAATGTAAAACTCCCACAAGTCCTGGGGCAATTAACACTCATTTGCAGTGCAAGACACGTTAGTGAAGTGTACACAGTGCCAACTTTTTACTATTTAATGAGATTCAGAAAAAAATAAAAGGAAAAAATTAATAATTTCCCTATCACAGTGTACTTAGTTCTTTAAATTTCTTTTTCCACCAGTGGAAAATTAACAAACTGACTAAAGAAATGTTTCTACTGAGTTTATAATTATAGCTTTAGAATTTCTTAATTTAGAATCATGTACAAATGAGCTTATTTCTATTATAAAATTAATACATTTAAATAAATTAAAAGGAGTCTCTGTCCAAGGTGACTACACATTTAATGAAAACTGATTATTATATATCCAGAAAAGTTTGACTTGCTATGCATTTGTAATTATCTTTCAAATATATTATTTTATTATCTTCCAAGTTCCCCCCCCACACAGGATCCTATTGTATCTTAACTAGGACCACTCCAGTAGTCTTTAGTCTCCTCACTGTGTACTTTCTGAGTTTAGTTTCCAGTCAACATATTCTTTCATTTAAAATTTACAAAATGCTGGCCTGTCATGTTTAATAACAAGCAAAAAGCAAACCCCCAAAACAAAAACAAAACCCTGACCTAAGTACATATCCTTTGATAGCTAGCCTGATGTACTGTCATTCGGACACATTTCCACACATCATTATTTCCTTTCAGAGAGCTCTGCTTAGTTCTTGCACTGTCCTTCTCAG